ATGAGCCATTCAGTGTTCTTTGGCAGCCCAAATAAAATTTTACTGAAAATTATTCAAAAGCAGCTAGAACAATACATCAACACAACTTTTATAAATTCCAACTGGATTCAGAAGGGTCCTTGGTACAAGGGTTATCATTGCTGCTGTCAGGTGGATCTTGCTTGAAAGCAAATACCCGAAAGATGTATATTTGTGCTTTATGGATTGTGCAAAGCAATCTAACTGGGTAGATCATAATAAATTATTGATAACATTAAGAAGAGTGAGAATCCCAGAACACTAAAAAAATGTGCTCATGTGAATCCTGTACATAGACCAAGAAGCAGAAAAAGGAACAATATGTGGTTTAAAATAGGAAAAGTGTATGTCAGATTGTATCTTTTTTTTTAACCTATTCAATCTGTTTGTTGAGCAAATTCTTTGAGAAGTCAAACTCTATTGAGAAGGATATGATATCAGGATTGGAGGAAGATTCATCAATAACCTATGTTATGCCAATGATGTAATCTTTCTTGACGAAAGAAAAAAATACTTGTTGTAGAATATCAACTAAAGCCTTTAATGTGGATTATATCTGAACCAGAAAATAAAATCCTTACCTTGGAATAATAGGTACTATCAAGATAGAAAGAGCAAGAATGTCAGTTTAAAGACTAAGGTGCTCCTGATTCAAGTCTTGTGTTCTAAGTTGCTTCCTATGCATCAGAAAGTTAGATACTGACAGGAGGATAATTGTCTTTAAATTATAAGTTGAAAAGAGTACTGAATATCCCATGGACTGCAAAAAAACAAGCAAGTCCATCTTGGAAGAAGTGCAACCAGTGTGCTCCTTAGAGGCAAAGATAGTGAGACTTTGTCTCACATCATTTGGGCATATTGTCAAGACGAATCAGTCTTAGAAAAAAAATTTAAAAACCATCGTGCTTGGAAAGGTGAGGGGTTTAGAAGAGAGGAAGACCCTCACCATACAGTCACTGTAAAAATGGGCTCGGGAGTATGCGAGATCATGAGAATGGCCCAACATAGAACAAAGTTCACATCAGTTGCTCTTAGGATTGTTATCAGTTATAGTTGTGATAGCACCTCAAAATACCACCACTCTAAGCTGCAGAGGGTCAAGGACTGCAACCTTCAATATGATTTGAGGCTCAATATCAAGAAGACAGAGATTCTCACCACTGGGCAAATTGGCAACATCAGGATGGATGGTGAAGAGAATGAAATAATTTTGTTAGCAGCTTTAGGTTGCCTGGCTCCACAGTCGACACTCTTGGCACCAGTAGCCAGGAAATTAAAAGGCGCATTGTGATGGGAAAGTCTGCTGTTAGGGACCTCTCCAAAGTACTGAAGAGCAATGGTATCACTCTGGAGACTAAGGTGCACCCGATACTGGCCATGGCCTTTGCAATCACTTGCTCTGCTTCAGAGAGCTGGACAATGAATAGGGAGAATAGAAGGAGAATTGATGCCTTTGGGCTGTGTTGTTGAAGAGTATTGAATATACCAGGGACTGCTAAGAAAACTAACAGGTTCACCCTGGAGAGGGTTAAAGCAGGTTGCTCCTTGGAGGTTTAGATTCTGAAGCTTTGTCTGACATACTTTGGGCATGTTGCAAGGAGGAGCTAGTCCTTGGAGAAGGATGTCCTTCTTGGGAGGGTGGAGGGACAGTGCAAGAGAGGAAGACCCCAGATGAGATGGATTGATTCAGTGACTGGGGTAATGGGGGTAGGTGTGTCGGAGACAGTGAGATTAGCACAGTACAGAGCAGCTTTTAGGTCTGTTGTACATAGGGTCACTATGAGTCACAGGCGACTCGACGGCACTTAACAACAAAAACAACTAATCCAGAGGCATCATTTCTTCTTCGACTCCTTCATTATACAACTATCACATGCACAGAAGGTGGCTGAAAATATCAAGGCTTGCATCAGCTGCAACTTGATTATAAAAGTGTTATCTTTATATTCTTACAATTTAAGGGTCCTAGTAACAGTGATTAATATACCTGGTGGCTAACTGAAAGTACAGCAGTTGAAACCCATTAGCCACAATGCAAGAGAAAGCTGTGGAAGCAATTCTGTTCTGTCCTGTAGGATCTCTAGGAGTTGGAATCTACTTCAATGGGTAGTGAGTTTAACGTGATCTTTAAAGATGCCTATTTACCCAGATGAAATACATCATTTGAGGTTTTTACTGCTACTGCTCTGATGGCCTAGTGGTAACAATCTACACTGTAGTCTTGAAGGCACGCAGTTCAAATCCACCAGCTGCTCTGCAGAAGAGTGGACAGTCTCCTTCCATGCAATTAACTGCCTCTGAAAACCTGCTAGAAAGTCAGCTGTGGGCCGGTTCCAACTTGATGGTACATAACAACAATCATGAGCATTGATGGTGGATCCAAGTAAAATGATATCCTTGATACCTTCAGTATTTCTCTTTTTACCAAAATGATACCTTTTTTTTTTATTGTTTTCTTTATGACGCTGTGTCGCTTAGGGCATTATTTTTAATCTCTCTAAATTTTTATTCCCTTGCAATGTAAATTATTATTATGTAGGGTTTCCGTGAAAATTAAATGAGCTAATAGCTATGTTTTATACCAACATATAGGACACTGCATTATTCTTGTGTAGCATCAAATCTGTACCAACCGATAGCTGATCCTTCAGTGAGCTTTCAGAGGCAATAAAACATATTAGGAGGAGATTGGCCATCCTTCTCCTCGAAGCAGCTGGTTGATTTAAACCTCATGCCTTTGTGTTGTCAGCACAATTCCTTACCACCAGGCTACTGAGACTCCCCATAGTGCATTATTGGAAGTAAGTAAGTCACTAACTACTCTTCCTACCCTCTTTATCCTTCTAAACCTGCTTCATTAAGGATTAACGGATGATACCAGCCCCTCACTGTCCTTGAGTTCAGCCTCCTATCTCTGTTGTTTTAGATTATGATACTTTTCACTAAGTAAGTGGGTTTTATTTAAATGTTTCATTTCAAAATCAATTTGCTTAAGCCTTCAGGATGACTTTCTCTGATCTCAAATTGCCACTGAATTGACAGCAATGAGTTTGCGTTCATTCTTTGTTTTTTTTAATGAGTAAGCAATTTTCTGAGACTTAAGGTTAGAGGGACTGGGACTGGAATGTTTAGGCCATAATGTAAATACTGTTCTGTCTGTAACAGAAAAAGCAACTATTTCCTGAATGCTTAACAATACTCCAGGGATCTCTGGCAGTGTGGTCCATAGCAAGTTGCATTGACAGCCCAAAGGCTGCAGCTCTCCCATGATTCAGATCCACCAGTAAGAGAAAGGAGTCAGTCTTTGTTACTTTTTACAGCCTTAGAAACCCATTGAAAGGTCACAGAGTTGGAATCCACTTAATGCCAACTACATTTCTGTAGTAGCTTAGTGGTTATGGAGTTGCACTGCCAACTCAAAGGCACGTAATAAGAATCTACCAGCTTTTTCATGGAAGAAAGGTAGGCAGTCTCCTCCTGTGCAGTTTACTGCCTCTGAAACGCTGCACGACGGTCAGCTATGAGTCAGTTCCAACCTGATGGTACATAATAACATACTATAGGAAAGGTTCTGGTTTCAGTTCCTTGATTAATTGGAATCCAGAGAATGAGCCCACAAACAACACTGGAGGCTGTGTAGCAACATGCTGTTTCATTTGTGCCCAGGTGTGAGTGGGCTGAGATCCCATGTAGTTTCTCCACATAGAAAAAGGATAAGCCAGAGATACTTACAGTCTCTGGTCAACAGGAATTGTTACTTGGCTCAGTAGTTACCTGTTGTTACTCAGGCCTGTCCCTCTGCTAGTCTGAGGGCCTAAGTGTCTCCCAACTCTCTTCTTTCTTATCTTTGGACACAGGCTGCTGGCATAAGTGGCTTTGTTATTCAGGGCTAGGCAATTTAGCCCCTCAGGCTTTCAGGCCCAAGGGAAAGCTTACACGATATTCATTATTTCATTTACTCCCCATGATAGTTTAATACTGTTAGTACCATTACTAACACAAACAGGCTATAATCAGAGTAAAGCAGTAAGTCGCTTGATTATTATCACATACTCATTAAAGGGCAGAGCTGATATTTCAGTCCAAACTTGTCTAATTTTAATCTCTGGTCCTTCCCATTTGGCAATTGATTATTTACCTCGAATGTTTCTGCTAGGGAACTCTGCCGGTTTATTCCACAGGGAATTACTTTGCTAACCCAAAGGTTAAACAAACCGCATTAGCAGTTAGAATCCATCATCCACTTCCCAGGAAAAAATGGGTCATCTTCATCTGTGCAGTTTACAATCCTGGCATCCCTTGGCAGGTCAACTAAGAGTTCCAACAAGAGAGGGTGAGCGAGAGAATGTTGTTGACACCAATGCCGCACATCTGCCTCCTATTCTCTTTACTCTTTCATCCTTGATGTGCCTAGAATGAGTGAATACAGTATGGACCCTACAACAAAGGTAACTATGATGTGCACCTATACTTGGAGAACTAGTGTAATCCACTGACAGAATGGTAGCAGACCCAAAAGATCATGATCACATGAGGAAATTTAAGAAGTCTACAAGAGTCCAGCTTTTCATCTAAAAAATGGAAAAAATAATAAAATAAAATAAAATGCATATCTAATTAATTAGCAAAGATTCAGACTTAAAGTGCTCAGTATGTAATTTCCATGAAGGTGGGTAGTTCTAAGGCAGTGACACAGACATAAAGCTGAAAGAACAACTGGAAGCTGGGGTTTTGAGAGCTTTGAAAGCTAGGCCAGCGAGCTGGGACTTTTTGCTTAATAGAAATATTTGCTAACGTCAGTAATCATTCTGAAAAGAAATTAGAGCTGATGCTATTTTACATTGCCTTTCAAAACTGATTGTGAGATGGAGTTGGTAGAAGCAGATGGAACCAGTTTAAAGGGTTTTGTATTTTATGTAGTAGAGAGAAAGATGATATTTTCAAATTTGATGCCCTGTGTTTTTTTTCTCCCCCCTCCACAGTAATTAGTGAATGTCAGAGGCAGCAACTGGAGTCTGTGAGTTACTCCTCTCGCTACGCTTTGGGCCTCTTTTATGAAGCTGGCTCGAAGATTGATGTCCCGTGGGCTGGGCAGTACATCACCGGTAATCCCTGCATACGCTTCATCTCCATTGATAATAAGAAGCGCAATATAGGTCAGTACCCCTATTATTTCCCTTAAATACAGTAACAATGGTGGGTGTAGATCATGAAAAATGCTGTTTAATTGAGTGTTGCCATTCTGAAAGAAGCAAGCATTTAACTCCAAGCCACAAGGGATAAAGCTTAATGTCACATTTGGCCAATAGTGAAATACACAGTGAGACCAGCAGTTTTTCAGAGTATCACTCACCACCTGGTTTGTATTACTGAGTTCCTGAAAACAGTGTCAGAAGGTTTAAGATTGCAAAATGGCCCAAGTTCTTTTTTAATATGGACCCATCTATATGTAAATGTGTCTCTCATCAATCTCTTCTTGGTGGAATTCGTTTTGTTTTCTTGCTGCTGTTGAATTGGTAACTGTTGTTTTTCAGTAGCCCAGGCTCACAGTAAAAAAAAAAAAGTAAGTTCTACTATGTGATAACAGAATTCTTCACTTGTTTATGTTTCATCTTGAAGAATAGTACGATTTCTTTGTGGACTGTGTAGCTAACATGATAGGGGAAATGTTTTGTAAGAATTTTACTGGAAGGCAGTGACCCCGATAGCCATCTTTTTTGTTGACAATTTGGTTGAAATTTCAAGGAAAGTTCTGATTTATTTCAGGCATAAAGGTGAAAGCATATTATTTTGTGTGGTTGTGGTGATCACTCCAAAACGGCCAAACTTGTGTAAGGAACCAATCCTTGTTTTAATTTGTTTTTATGGGGCAGTGATGGTTTCACAAAGCCATTAGTTAGAAATCTTGCTTGATAAAATCATGAACTAACATCCCTTGGCTTGCCAGAGCTTTATAATGATAGAATTGGGCTGGAGTATGTTTTTTATATCAGAGCACATAATCTTAGAAAAATGTTTCTTTTATAACTTAAAACTCCCTAAGGGCTGGACTGTTTATGTTAACATGATACCACATATATGTACAATCAGCAGTTTGTGAAATGTCCTATAACAGCAATGGACCAACCATTATTTTAACTCTACAATTGTTTTGTTCTGAGAGAAGGGAAATAGCTGTTGGTCTTCTCATGTTACATACCATGAATCCGACATCTCTTAAGTATTGCCTTAGAAGATATCTCTTGGAATATATTCTCTATTCCTCTCTCTGTAAACAGGAACACACTCACCCACTACAGTCTAAATATATTTGCTATCTTAAAAGGATGAGTAGATCCTAGAGTTGGTTGATTCAGAAACCAAGCAATGTATTCACAGTACCTAGGGTTTTTCCTTTTCTGCTACTCTTGATGTTGACATTCTCAGAGGACTAGTAACAAAATGACAATAGCTCTTGGAATCACAGCTCAACCCACCGATGCTCTTAGGAAGAAGATGGGCTATCACTGCCATGAGCTTTTTGATGAGTCATGTACATTTGCCCAGGGGTCCCTCAGCCAACTTCCCTTTGTATCTCATGGGCAAGAACTTGGTTATTCAAGTAGGCTTAAACCAATCTCTGACCAGGGAGAGATAATAAAGTTGATAGCCTAGATGGATCAAGATCTATTTCTAGAATTGAAATGTGGAATAAAAGGGCTTGTTAGGAAGAAAGAAGAGGTAATGGATGCTGGGTTGGCAATCAAGAGAGCTGATTATGTTCAAGGCAGAGTCACATCTCCTGTGGTGGGTGAGGTTCGAGAGTTGGCATATGAAAAGAAGAATTTAATATACTCATAAAGTTTCAAAGAATGGCATATCAACTTTCAACAGGTTTAGTATAATCCTTTTTCCAGCATTTAGTAGATTTCAGTTTCTTTGAGTCAGGCCAGAGGAAATAGTTGTTCATTCATTTATGGGTTGAAACTCTATTTTCTACCATGAAATGTATATAGGAAAGAAAGGAATAGCAAAGTCATATGTTATTAACAGGCTAAATCCAGGCTTACAAAATGGAGTCAGATAGTGCGTGAGAATAATAACCCATGCTACAATGCAGTGGTGATTTATTGAATCAGAGTTAAGCAAATTTGAAAGATTATAACATAAAAATACTAATAAACTACGATGTTAGTGGCATTGCTTTAAATAATACAAATATATATATATTTTAAATAACAGAAAACAAGTACGTATTATATAACTATTTTAATGGATAAAAATATAGGTATTTTAAATAATAGAAATATACACATATGAAAGTTCATTAAGATTTTGATGTTACATTCTTCCAATTTGCATCGCTCTGATTAACAACCACAATTTTAAAGCCAATGTGTCATGTGTATTAGAAGTCATATTTTTGCTGTGGTTTATGGTGGTAGTACTTTAGCTGGCTAAGAAATACCTACATTCCTTTGTCAGTTTTATGGAAAATTAATCTTGGATTATGTGGGTTTTAAATTATGAGAAACCTCCAATAATGACAATTCTTAACATAAAATCTAACTGTATTACATGTAAACTATTTTTTGCTCACTCTTTGGGATTGGGGTGGGCAGTGTGCTCAGTATATCTAATGGAATTCACATGGTAAAATAAATATCCATAAATGTAATTTCACTTTATTTTAATATTGATATTTACCTAGGCCAGTATTTTTATGTTAGTAACATTATCATACACCTAACTTTTCTTTGGGATTCTTAACTTAGTCCAAAATTATTATTATTATTATATATTTTTTCAACTAATGAACATTTGTATTGTGTCAAGATAGAGCATAAACAAGATATATCACAAATTACAGTCAGTTGTTAATCTAGAAGAGATCATTTGTCAGATATCAGGAATAGTCCATATTACAGAAAGCCAGAACCAGTCTCTCTAATCATAAAAGGCAAAATTCGAAGGTGTACTAAACCCAACTTCAAGTATCAATAACGATGGACGTGACTCAATAAATACACTTAGGTTTATTTTTCAAAAATATATTCCATGGAACATTAGACCCTTGCGGTGTTCCTCAGGAAGGGGCTTCATGGTCAAATAAGTTTGCACAATGCTCTAGACTTAGTCTATTTTGTTGAGTTTCAGGCAATAGTATCCTTTTAAAAAGGTTGTTTCTACAAAAAATAAATTTTTTCACATCATTGAGCCTACAATTTTCCAAATGTGTAGACCATAGCATGTTTTATTTGGCTACTTCATTTATTAATGACCCACAAAAATGGTTCCCTACAGGACTCATACAGGCCAGATACAGGGGTAGAGGGCTCTAAGGTCCCAGAGGCACCAGTAAGGAGGTTATCTGTTTTGAAATGGAAGAATCATTGTTTCAGAACTCAAATCTTGGTAAGATTAGAATTTAAGATGATAGTTTACCATCATGTTGGAACCAACCATAGCTGACACTCTGGCAGGTTTTTAGAGACAATCCCAAAGGTATGTGGTTCAAGGGCAGGCAAGCAATCTCTTCCTGTGCTATTAAGGAGTGTCAGCTATTGGCCAATTTCCACTTGATGGTACCCAACAACCACCAGCAGCACACAGGAGAAGAGTGCTCGTCTCTCATGGAACAGATGGTGGGGCCACCATCAACAGGGGCTATTCATTTTAAGATTGGCATGGTGGGAGGAAGCTGGACTCATAAGATCTTGTTTGAAGTACTAACTTTGAAAATTGCTCATGATCTTCCACAACCCTTGTATTTGTAAAGCTAGTTGTATCAAAACACTAGAACATTTCAACAGTCTGAGCATAACAGAAATGTATTTCTTGTTTATCTAAAGTTACAGTACGTATTTCTGATTGGTGGACAAGTGTGATGGCTAAAGTTTTGCTCAATATTGGATCATGATTCTCAGTGGTTTGGTAGTTATGTAATTGATGTAATCATCCTTATGATATAAAATCAGTTACTCAATTAAAAGGGTGATTCCCTTGGAGGTGGGACTTGAATATAATATATATAGATAGATAGATAGATGTTGTGGTAAATCTCACTTGCTTTTTCTGTATGCAGTTCATCCATGTTAATTCTTAGGAAGTTTTTGCCCCTACAACTACATGACCATTTCCTTGATAGACATATCACTGGTTTTACTTCCCTAAAGAATATAAACTAAAGCAACTTTATTCAAAAAAGCTAATTCAGGAACCCAAGTTCATTCTATCATTTAACTCTACCAACTTCAGGAAGCTTACAAAGCTGTTGTTCTCATAGTTATGAAGTCAGGGGATGAGAGAATACACTGGAGATTTTTAGAGTTTTACCTGGAAATAGCATAAGTGTTCTACCTTCTCTCAGGTAAAATTCATTCATGTGACCACATTTATATAGAGGAGAAGCTGGAAATGTAGTCTGTGGTGGTAGTTCTGTGTCATTAAATTGAAACTGACTTATAGCAGACCCTCCAGTGGGTTTTCAGAGGCTATAAATTGCACGGGAGGAGATTACTCATCTTTTTTTCCCATGGAGCAGCTGTCTCTAGGAAAAAGAAAAACAGGGATAGGTGAATACTTAGCCTCAACCAAAACACTTAACATAAGTTTTCCTGGTAAAGGAGCAAATTAATGTTCCAAATAAAAGTGAACCATTCCATATAGAATACTTACCTCCCAAAGTCTGAGTTTTTGCCTAGGACCTAAATTTGGATTCAGACTACCTGGAATCAATTCCATTTTACCACTAACTAATTGTGTGACATTGAACAAATAACTTAAACTTTGTTTTATCATCTAGAATGTAAGGAAAATAAACAATTTAATCTTCAAAAAAATGTTAGGATTAATGCTACGTGTACAAAGACCTTCCCTTGACATCTAGAAATAATATATGGTTGTCTAAGACAATCATTAATTTCCGTTTGGTTCAGATATCATTGACCTTTTAAAAGAATATAATCCTCTGTTCTTCATGTACATAAGAGTTAAGGCGGATTAAATAAGTAAAATTAAAAATAACCCTGAAAATGATTGGTCTGGATTTTGGCATCGTTTGTTGTTCATCCTCTGGAACACTGTTAATTATCAGTAAAATAGGCAACAGTCTGAGGAGATTAAGACAGGCTGCAACTCTAGACATGTAATTGTTATTTTTTAGATGCCATCGAGT